TCAGAGATTATGAGGATGACACAGCATAGGACAAGATTCAGAGCTGTTGTTCATAGGATCGCTAAGAGTTGTACTAGAGTCAATAACACCTAACAACAACCTATATTGCTGGAGTTAGTACTAAAATGCATGTTATTAATTCATAACTGGATGAAAGACCATTGTTGTTGTTGTTGATTGCTGTCGAGTCAAGCACGACTCATAGCGACCCTATGAACAAAAAGGCTTGAAGCCTTTATATAACTATCATCGTTTATCAAAGTTCATAGAGTTACCAGAGGCATGTTGTTTAGAAAGCAGATGCCATTCCTGCTTCCAAACGTGTCTTAAACTTGGAGCTCCACCAAACACTGTCCACCATGGTTAACCATTATGGCATTTGACACCCCAGTGGCACAAGGTTCAGCATCACAGTAACCCCAGGTTACCTCAGTACAGCATATTGACAGAAGAGAGCTGTACTGCTTAGAAGACTGTTCCTCCAAAATATAATAACAACAGCGGGACCGCACTGTGGAGCGTGCGGGCAGGGCCTGGGGTGGGGGAGCGGAGGCCCGGCCATGAACGGGCTGCCCGCGGCCGAGGCGCCGGGCGGCGCAGGCTGCTCCCTGGCCGGGCTCCCGCCGCTCCCGCGGGGCCTCAGCGGCCTTCTCAACGCGAGCGGAGGCTCGTGGCGGGAGCTGGAGCGCGTCTACAGCCAGCGCAGCCGCATCCACGACGAGCTGAGCCGCGCCTCCCGCGCTCCGGACGGGCCCCGCCACGCCGCCGGCGCAGCCAACGCGGGCACCGCCGCCGGCTCCTCCGGCCCGCGCCGTCGGGTCAACCTGGACTCCGCGTTAGCCGCGCTGCGCAAAGAGATGGTGAGTGGGCAGGGCTGGGCGGGGGGCTTTCGCGGACAGTGCCCCCGGGAACCTGCGGCCTCGGTCCCGGAGAACCAGGCACACCTTGGCGATGCCCGGGGAGCTAGAGTAACAGTTAACTGCTAGTTACCGCGTATAGTCAGAGCTGCTTCACCTGTATTACCTCCTTTTTGCTCGACTAAGGCGGTGGTCCCGCCTTACCAAACAGTTTGAGAGGTCGAAGGCGGGGTCTGATGGATGAGGAGTATTAGGTTAGGTTAGGTTAGTGGACTTAAAGAAGAAATCAGAGAGAAAGCTTAATGCAGCTTTATTAAAGGGGGGTGGGGTGGAAGGGAGCTCCCGGGTGAGTTCCTCATCCTGGAGAGGCAGAATGGGAAGTCACCCTGTGAACTTACTGGGAAGGATTTTTATAAACAGTCTTTAGGGAGGGACAGTCCATTCTGATTTACGGGCCACCTGCTAGCTTAGCCAGGCAGGCAAGGCCTTTTGCCTTCTTATCTGAAGCAGGCAAGGCCATCAACATTTGAGTTCTGAATTCTTCATTCTTCTCTTTGGCCCTCTTTGCTCAGACTAACATCTTAGACTCTTTTTAGTGATAAAACAGGGCGACGTATCTCTCTTTGGGCTACTTCCTGCTGATCAGGGGCGACAGAGCCTGGAGTGAGTCAGTCTGGGATTTTAGTGGCCAGGGGAGAATTAACGTGGTCATCTTCTTGATCCTGTGAAGTAAAAACTTAAAAGAGACATGGAGTGATTAATAACAGTATGCTTATGATTACTGTTGGTCTCAGAGAAAGAAAATTTAAGTTAGAGATGAGTTTTTGAGTTAATTTGAGAGAAGGCTTGTGGTTGAATTCTGTATAGAGTCTTATTACATCAAAAGTGTTGTCCTGGTTTAGCTACAGTGCTTGTTTATGCTGTCACTGTGTATACAGTTTTCATGTTTCACTGCAGAGGCTGTTACATGCAAGTGGGCTTAGTGTTCTTATTGGGCTTTGGTTTTCAGAAGGGAATGTGTTCTTGAGTGGTGGAACACTCAGTTTGGGCTGATGGAATGGCT